AGTATTACGCCTACAGAACGGGCCGCAGCCACTCGCTACAGTGTCGTGGGGGGACGCCCCGCTATCAAATGACTGTCCATCCTTCAGCAAGCTGAACAAGGGGCGCTCATATCGCCTCTGATCAAATTGAATCGCCGTATTTCAATGTATTTTGCTGGAAAATCACAACAGTTGCAAGCATGTCGACATTTACAATTGGCAAGATCATTGTGTTGTTTATTTTCAGGCGTCGTGAAGGAGATCAGAACAGCAGTTGAGGAGGGAAACCCGCCACCGAAGTTCACCGTGATCGTCGACCAGGCCGGCGAAAGCAAGTTAGCCACTGCCACTGAATAACTCTTCCATAGCCAATTTTCCGTAAAACAACTCCAGTCTTAACACTATCTATAGATCTCCACAATCGCTGCCGTGGCATTTCCCTCAATTCCAATTAAACACCTCCCAACCCCTATCAATTCGAAAAAAGTCAGAACTTCCCATAGGCTCGCATTCATTTTTCAATATTTAACCAGACTGTGTTGATCAGGACATGCAGAAGGAGGACTTGTGGGTCAAAAGCACACGTGCCCTTCCTCCGCACTACTATATCTGTCGTTTTCCTTGCCCTTTTGAATTTCGCACAGACACTGCTTCCATAGTAATAAAGCTTTTCACAAACAAATCGACGCTTCACATTTATATGGAAAAAGTTTACATCCATAAATAGAAACAACAAGGTGATACATGATTTATCAACAAGGAGACGGAGACCGTAGAGGGACACAATATAAATACTAGTGACACGCACACGGGTTAACACTTTGATTGAGGTTCAACAGATACGAGGGAGATGAATCGCTGCTTCACACTTCCCATTGGAAATACGAAACAGCGATCGGCAGATGTTTTGGTCTACTTCAAGTATATTGCAACAAGCTAAAAGGTCGACACATATATGTGATAAAATACGAAAAATCGACGACTGCTTCGTCTCATTCAGCTGCCACAGATCCGGCGGCGGGTGCGTCTCCGGCAGCAACCTGAAAACATTACACTTTGAATTCTCATGAGAAAAGACTAGTTTGCTGCTGATGAGGGTGGGTGGGTGGTCGTGACCGAACATTCACTGCCATCAATGCGGCGTATAATAAAAAGTACCCGCTCCCCTCAAAAACTTCGAATTGGTCACACGCCAAAATTTGTTGTGCATGATAATCGCGGATTAGCGAAGCTCAGAGAGTTCTGCGTGATTGACTTATAGTGGCGCGATTTGGCATCGAGCCAAGCCTGAGTCTCCCCGAGATCGATCGGCTCTGTGCCCGCAGGCATAACTGAGCGATGCTGCATCGATCAACACAGTCGCCTCATCTGCATTCACTGGTGTGTTATCTACTCGACACCGTAAACCCTTTTTAGCAGCAAGACAGGAAACGATATGATATAGAGGGAAAAACGAACCTCCTCTCCTTCGGCTTTCTTCTTCTTCAATGCGGGAGCGTCGTCATCCGGGGCATCTGCACCCACACCAGAGACCCGCTTACGGTCCTGAAACAAAAACATTGAACATTCTCTACAAAACAGGTGATGAAAGTTGACTAACATTGCCGTTGGTATCGGTGGATTCTACATGGCCATTTTCGCTTCCTTTGCCATTCTCTTCGGCGCCTTCCGCACCCTCATCTTCTTCATTGCCACCTTCGTCGTCCTCACCACCGTCCTCGCTTTCGCCATTCTTCTCATCAGAACCGGAATACGACCTGCAATTAACAATGGCTATGCGAGTTCACCACTATGGCAGAATGAAAGCAGTGCTTGAATAGACAAATATCCAGTTGCAGTTATATCAAGATATTATGATTATAAAGTGCAAAAAGTTGTAAACTAACTACGCATTTTAACCATTGAAACAATGGCTGGTCGAGTTAAACAAAGCGAAACCCATAACACGGATGATTTAAAAACAACGCGGCTGATCGAAACTACGAGTGTGGCGCGAAGGCGACAACTGACCTCGAAACCCCAACTGTGAGCCGGGACAGGTCTCGACGACGCTACCCACCAATCACCCCTTAGCAACGGTAAGCGGGCACCTGAGCGATTATCGTACCACATCACTCTGGCCCACAAAAAGTATTCCCTTCAAGTGATCAAGGTTTCACGCTACATAGTGAAATATTGCGATATTGGAATATAAGACTATTAAACAAGAGTGGAAAAGTAAACATAACATCAAAACCAACTTCTCGTCGTTATCCAAAGAAGCTGCTGAGTCGCGGCTCTCTTCAGCAGCATCGCCACCAGCGGCTTCAGCCGTCACCGGCTCCTTCTTCTCAGCAGATGCAGCCTTAGCGTCAGCTTCAGAACCAGACATGACGGGAAAACCTGCAATAATCGCTAATAACACGAGATACCCCCACCTCAACGTAATCTGTACATCAGTGACATGGAAATAAGGAAAATAGCAAATGAATAATCAGGCAGATAGAGTAAAAGGGTACCAGCAAATCACAACAGGTTCGACCAGAGTGGACTAAAGCAATTTGAAAACTCAAGCTTGACAAGCATACAATCAATGACATTTTCACGATGCGCCGTCCCAACAACTCTGGTCGGCATGAAGGCCAAGCGGGAAACAAGAGGAGGTTCAATCTTTTCGATTCCCATACTATATCTAGGTCATAGGCGCGTACGAAACTCAACTAACCGAACTCGGGCAAAGAACTGCGACGATTATTTGAGAGCTATCGAAGAACTGCCTCAGTGACATGAAGCGGAGAGTAATTATTAAACAGAAAAGTAGAAAAGGAATGAAAATCACGAAGAATAAGAAATCACTAGGAAGCTCGTTGCAGTGGGCTTCCCACAAAAACAATAGCAGTGAGCCATTCGATTGGCTCTGGCACAGATCGCGATGTTCGATTTTACACTAAGCCGCAGAGAATCTGCTCCTCGAACTCGATATGAGGGTAGAGGGTAGAGAAGTGGTCAACACACGTCGTGGAGAGGCGAGAGACAGCACAAAAACGCTTGTCATAAACGGCGTAGATTCGCAACAGCAGGACCATCAGGGTTGACTCAACACTGATCAAGAACAGTGCCGAGTAGGCAGTAATGGCACCGTGGACAGCAGAGCAGATGGTCGAAAGTGGAGAGGTCGCGACGATTGGACGGCCAATTGAGCCCGCACTGGTGTGGCAGCGGGTATAGTCAAACAGAAGAACGTAGTAGCGGGTTCCCGATCGGGTGCTGACAGCATATGGTAGTACTAACAGGATGTAAAGTCGAATGAGTTCGAATACAAGAACAGAAATGGGAAGAAAGGGAAAGGAGGAACGGGCAGAAGATGAGCAGAGAGGCGAGGGTGCGCCCAGCCGCCGGCCAGCAGGCAGTGTGATTCGAAATGCGCCGCCGCATGCGGCGCGCGCGAACTGGCACGACGCTCCTGGCACCGGGCCAACGGCACCGCCCTCGGCAGCTTGCCAAGCCCCACCCATTGCCCGTCAACGATAGACAGCAACGGGCGAAGGGGGCGGGCACCAACGTCAAAGTGCAGGCCGCCCGCAAACGAGTGATGGCCGGTAGAGGGGGAGAAGGGGACGAGCGTTTGGACGCCTCTGTGACGTCATGCAAGAAGAAGCACCGAAACAATTTGGTCATCAGTTCCGCCGCCCACGCGGGCGAGTTCCAAGCCGTTGGCGTTATGGAGGCGGCCGTGGCCGTGTAGGTATATTCGCAACTGTCGCTCGCGATTTCGCAATCCTCGACTCTAACTGCTACTTTCGTCAAGTATACTAACGAATTTCGAAATTTTTGAAGTTTTTACTTCCACCTACGCACTCATTACGCCACTATGATTCTGAATGGAGGGGGGCGCGGGGCGCATCCCTCAGCTGGGATTGATTAACGCTAAAGAAATTATCTTTTACTTTCTAGTTGCCCATACGGCTCAGATATTCCGATTTTACGGGTTTCTTCTGTACCGAGGTTGCTTTAAAAATATGTGCTTCTTCCAACTTCATACTATTGCGTTCACAAGCTCACCACCAATTACCGCGGGTGTTTGCAAAGCGCCCCATTCCGAATATCGCGTTGCCGCCAGATAGCTTTGATGGGATTGACACCTGTCAAAACTCGGACATTTGGGGCAAAGTGAGTTAAAGTCTAATGCAATATCCTGGGACGATGGTGTGTAGGGCCTGTCGGGAAATACAATTGGAATTTTCCCTTATTTGAAATTATGTTCATTTGAAGCCACTTTGAACATTCCCAGAGATTAGCCGTTGCAAGCATGTGCTCATTAGCTGCTTACAGCCAACAGCAAATAATTATCCGATTTGAAAACCTGTGACAAGGGAAAAAGAGGTTTATAGTTCAATCTGGTGAGTTATTAACGGAGGTTGAATCCTCAGTTAGTTGAAGAAAAGTTATTCAGGCAGGAGCCCAGAAAATCCGATGAAATAGGTTGAATTCATTCTGCCATCTATAGCCATGAATGCAGATCTTTCTGATCTGCTGCCTCTCTTGAATATCCAAAAGAGTCAATTTCCCTAGCTGGAATCGAACCATATGTCCACGTGAGTTCCGCAGATCGTTTTTCTTCATCGATACCGCCCTCGAAATCAATTCTTTGTTGAAACGCCGAAGAGCACTTATCGGATATGCACAGATCAGTGCTCATTTACCAGTTGCAAGAAGTTGGCAAGATGCCAAAGCAGGCTCAAAAAATCCTTCCGCTCCCCAAGATCTGTACCTACAGATGGCTCCAAGGCATTATTGGACGAGTTATCTTCTTCGCTGAGGTCTTTGACTTTGGGGTGATAGGCGAGTGTCAAGAGTTACCCGCTGCTTTACACAGATTGCTGACGCTCTCTTAAACAAAACTTTTCTCTCAGGCAGCCACTTGCTGTCGATTAAGTGTCGGGTACTTATTTCCCGTATGAAAAAGGGTGGCCTTTCGATGGCTACTCTGAGGTTCTCGTTCGGTTTGGGCAATGCACGAAAAAAAAACGTGCAAAACCTTTGGTGAAAAGGGTGAGGGATAGAATTGAAGTCGGCTAATGTACTTTCTTATGAATGTATGTGCAACAACGGTTTCAGTGGGAACGCGCTGAGTTCGGTCCAACTCATGGGATCCTCCCTTCCCAGGAAAAAACATCTGGGAATGAACTTGTCAAATCCTGATCACATCCTCATGACAGGTCTCACCTGTATTGACATGTGAATCATGGGTTTGTAGCGTACACGGCGACTTGCCTGATCGATGCGTTAGCGTCAGCGCGCCGAGACCGGCAGATCAATAACCACTAAAGTCATTGGTGTTGATCCATTTGAAACGCTCAGAGAATCAGAAGAGAGTGGTTTATAGTTGCATGGCAGCGTGTGAGATGGTCTAAGGGTCTTTCTGAGAGGATGCAGTGACAAAAAGCAAGGAATTCTCGCACTGAAACATTCAATTACATTTGAGACAAGCAAAATGAAAAGGTAGGGATGAAATCTAATCCGAACTGATGGGTCCTTTTGTTATGTTTCTTAGAAATGAAAGTGGAGATAGAAATTTGCAAGTCACTGCCTATTCACCATATTAGGCAGTAATTTTGGGTTCATTTGAGAGAAATCAAGTTTTGTGCGCCAATTCTAATAAACTTCAGTAGCTATCTATTGGGTTGTAACATAAGTTCGCAGAGTTTTGCGTTAGAGTTATTTTACAACGATTTATTTTGTTTTTTAGCAAACTGTATGCATTCATTTGAAAGAGCTCTTTCTCCTCTACAAAACTGTTTTATTCGTTTTTAGGATAATTAAATTGTTCGTCTTTTTTCG